TCGCGTGTACAAAGCAATTATGAGTTGTTTGCCAAAAAGCAGGCTGCTGTGTTGGTAAGAGAGATCAAGTCGGCTTACAGCGCAACGACGTTGTATTTGCGTAAACTAGATGGTAAATGGCGTAAAATAAACGTTTATAAACAAGTTGAATGCGCCGAGAATTCCCGCGCAAATGCTGGTCCCGCGTAAGGATGTTATCATCCACCGTATGTCCATCTGTACACAGTTAACTGTACTTGATCTGGTCTATCGATTTTGATGTAGGAGGAGGACGTCCCTCTGACGGCTGATAGCATACAGTTCGGTATGTTATGGGAGTGGCTTGTGATGCGACAGGGAATATCTTCAGCAATTTTTCAATCGATTGGTCTCACATCGATTCCGACCACTGCGACGCTTCGCACAAGCTTATTTTGACAATATTTTTGTTTGTTCGAAGGACGAAGATGGCAAATCTGCCGAATAAGTGCACCTGGTGCACCTTTGTGCGGTGCTATAATGTATGCGTGAGCTTTTATTGCAGGCAAATCTTGCAAAGTGTATTTCGGTGCCAACGAAGCACCTATTCTTGGTTGTTAAGTCGTGTTCTTGCAGACCCTGAGAAGGTCAATCGTGGAGTGGTCAACGCCAGGAAATCAAAGAGATTTGAGGGAATTGATTGGTTTGTTTAAATGCCTACATCGCGTCTCGCGTAACTACATTGACATGATACGCTCGCTATCAAACTTGCAGAGGAAGAACTTACCATGGGAGTAGTCATCCACTTGTGAAGAAGCTTCACTCAATTCAAATACTGCGTGATGAAAGCACCACTACTTGCACTACCAGATGATACAAATCCGTATAGCGTGGTGTCTGATGCTTCTGAGTTTACAAACAGTTGTGTATTTTATTGCAAAAGGACTTAGAAGGTCCCGATCGTATCGTATCATTTCAATCGCGACAGCTAAAGCTAGCAGAATTTTCCTGTCCTCGACAAGAAGCTTTTGGCAATAAAATATGCTCTGGTGAAGTTTATTGTTCCCCTTTTTGGTTTAGGTCCATTTGTCGTCTATTCGGATCACGCAAGTTTGCGTTATGCCGTTCAGTCGCCTCACTTGTTACAGTGAATGACTCACTGACTGTCATTCCTTGCATAGTATAACTTCACGGCTGCGTACAAGCCAGGGAAGTTGAACTTGCTGGCAGATTGGTGGCACGATACGTGAAGTCATGCAATGTCTGTCAGCGCGTTCAGAGCGCACGGCAAACGCAAGTGTCACTGCAGAGTCTTCTTGTTTCTACTGACTGTTAAAAGTCAGTCGGACTCGATGTTTCTTTCGGCCTCCCGGGAATGTTGATGGCTACAATGGGATGCTCGTCTTGATTAGAGACTCCGCAAGATGATTCGCATCGCTCTGTTCAGCGATCTCTTCTATCTCGAAGCTTTGGCTAAATTGTTCATTGAACACGTTTTTTGCAATCACGGGTTGCAAGACGCCATCATCCCTGATCTTGATACAAGATTCACGAGTGACTTTTGAGAAAAATATTCCAAATTCCTGGCACTCGCTTGATTATGTCCATAGCAGTACACCCAAAGACAGATAGGGTGGTCGGGTGTTGAGAAATTTCGGTAAAGAAATCCCGCAGAAAAGAGCACATTGTTACCATTGGTGCGTTTGCTGTGAGCATTCAGCTCATTCAATCACTGTAATTACGCCATTTGTTATGAATGGATTGCGACGCCCGTAGTTTCGCTTTGTGCAATGGGTAATGTATCCGATGTCAGTGGGGTGGAGCTCGACAAATCGTTGCCTCCCAAATTGATACAGTTGATGATGCAAACGTGAAGCGCAAATCCAAGAGTGCCCTAAACTTATTCATTATGAGTCGTGTAAATATGATCACACTTGCGCGAGACGCAGGCAAATGCACCAGCTCTGCAAACGGAATATGCAGATAGACGAGGTTGAAAAGCCAGAACGTCATTTCTTGTGATGTACTAAGTAGTACGTTAAATCTACCAGACGATGCGGTCTCAAGCTTGGAAAGCTTGAAGCTACCACCTCGCTTCATAGGTCCATTCCGAGTAGTGTCATGTCATGGATAGGCTCGAACTATCGACCCGCCAAGCTGGCTAAGGACCCATCCGACGTTCTACGTAGGGCTCCTCAATCCCTACCATTGGACAGTAATTGGCTACACATTTGGGTCATTTTTCTGGAAACGCAGTGCTATTTTGCAAACTCGGCTCACCTTCACTTGTGACGCCATAGACCTTGCGATAAAATTTGGCGTCAGGCCTGAACTGAAAAATGCACGTGGGTTTGGATCACCACGGTAAGTGGCCCGTTTCGACATGTATACGATACCATCTAGAATGATGTTTTGTTCCGGACCACTGTAATTTTAAATAATAATAGGCTACAATCTTGCTGATTACGTCTTTAACGGTGAAAATGAACTCCAATCAAGCATCCAAAATAGCTTCAGCATTTTCGCGTAGAATAAAGCTTTCCATCGGTCCAGTATTCGGGTCAGCTTTCCAGCCTCCTTCTTTGTACTTGAGTTGTTGCGCAAATGCTTTCATGAGCGGGAGCGAGCATCCGTTTAGCTTGGGTATATCATATGTAATTCACCACGTTCAACATCCTGGAATAGCACGTAGAATCAATTATGTATCGACGACCATACATAAAGAACATACCGTACGGCGTATCTTTCCCACAGTCCCAAACCCCATAATTTGTGGTTCCATTCGTGCTAACGTAAAACGTACGCGAACGAACGGGTTGATGCGCACCATACCAAGCACTGCATCTGCTGTACTATTAGAAAACAATTTTCCGTTTTCATTCTACACTTTACAGCACATCTCTCTCTTCAGATTTTTAATCAATGCATCCTGTTCAGCATTCATTCCGCTGTGGGTCAACTTTAAGCAAAATAGTCAGTGTGATGCAAACAGCAAGTTGTGGTCGTATTCCAACGTCTCATAAATTCACGTCAAAGAGTACGCAAATGGGTCGATATTTGCGTCAATATTCGCTACTACGCCATAAAGCATATTTTTGTTCGCTTCAATTAATTTTGCTTGCAACCGACCGAGATCAGGATGTTGCAGTGTCAATTTTACTGATTAATCGTCAACCCACTTAAGATATTTCCATTTTTCGACCATCAAACTGAAAATTTCTTTTTTAGGGCACCTGCACATGATGGAATCAAGTATTCGAATCATTGCTAAGTGACCTTAACGATTTTGCAATTTTTTACTAAGTCCAAGTATGCGCGCACAATCTTAATAATAAATTGCAGAGACCGAGATACGTTGCAGGCCTCAGCATTAAACCCTTGGAAATAACGTTCGGCGCAGCAATTGTGAGCATCGTCTGTGAAACGTCAGCTCCTTGTTTTTTCTCTTCAATGCATGTTTCCCGACGACAAATACCCCCCCCCCTCCCGACCA